TTCCACATTTTTAAGTTAAATTGTAGCCATTGGTGGTGGGGATCAGGATCTAGACCCTGGGGTCAGCAAACGTTTTCAGCAGGGGGCCGGTCCACTGTCCCTCAGACCTTGTGGGGGGCTGGACTATATTGGGGGGGGGAATGAATGAATTCCTATGCCCCACAAATAACCCAGAGATGCATTTTAAATAAAAGGACACATTCTACTCATGTAAAAACACGCTGATTCCCAGACCGTTCGCGGGCCAGATTTAGAAGGTGATTGGGCCAGATCCAGCCCCCAGGCCTTAGTTTGCCTACCCATGATCTAGACTATGGTGCAAAAGGATAGGAGTGTAACACTTTCCAGTGTGAAACTTGCCCCTGCTGAAACTGTTTGGCACATGAGGGAAGCTGCTATCTGCAGCTGCTGTTAAACTTGATGAAGAAATAATAATTATAAGTAGTAGTAGTAGTAGCAGCAGCAGCAGCAGCATATCCAACATAAAGAGAAGTAGCACTAGTGTCAGCACTAATGTGGATTTACTGGACAGAATAATGCAAAAAGACAGCTTTCTTCCCATGATGGCATGAGAAGCAAAAACTAAACCAGAAGTCATGCCAAAATCTTACACTGCATCAGCAGAGCTCCTAAAGACTGTGCCAGGTCTGGCTGCAAGAACTGCTGTTGAACCAGGACGTTGTGTCTTGGCCTCCTGGTTGCCTGCTCAGCTTTGAAGGGGAAATGAGTTTTTAAATTACGTGTGGTCACCAGATATTTTTTCTTATTCCATCACTTCAGCTTGAATTAATTGATTTACCAGCAAATCTTAATGTGTTTCTGATTTATTCATCAACTTTTCCCAATGTCTTGTGATTCCCCCCCCCCCCCGCTTTCCCAGGTCTTGTTCACATGGAAGAATTTACTTCCTGTTTACTTAGCTTTTAAAACAGTCATATGCCATATAAGCAGCCTAGTTGCATTTATATCCATCTCCATTGTAAAACAACCCTGATGGAAAGTAAGGATTTTCTTCTAGGGAAGCTCAGATTTATTTTAATTGTAATCTGAATTTTCAACCAATTCTATATATATTGTCACAATTTCCAATTACATGTGAAGAACATAGATTTAAACTGGAGCTGGTATGCCAGGAGATCTGGCAATTATTTCATATTACAAAAAAAATAAAATAGATTTGAATATTTTTGCTGGAGTGTGACGTTTCTTACTCTATGTTTATGAATGAAGACTATTTATAGATTAAAGAGACATGGTTTTCACTAGTGCCAACCTCTACATTCTAAATAAAAATAATCACTCTCAGCATAAAAATTCTAGCACAGCATACAACTGATCGGCTCTGAATAAAAAAGCACGAAACCAAAAATAAAAGCATATAAACAGAGGCCATAAAACCAGTAAAATCTATCAGAGCTATACTATACTACATTCCTGGGAGTATAAAAATGTCTTCTCTGATACCAAAGGGACAGCAGAATTGATGCCAGATTGCATTTCATAGGAAGGCCATTCATTGCACCAAAGAGCCTGTCTCTGTCCAGTCACCTCTGTCTAATCTCACACCAAGAATGTTATCCAGTGAAAAACAGAGGGTTCAGGCAGGCTTGTGTGGAAGAAGGCAGTTCTTCAGGCAGTCAGCTCCCAAACCATTTAGGTAGTAACTAACCCATCCCATTTAGCAAACTAGTCACTGCATTTGTACTAACTGAAGTTCCATAGAAGTCTTCAAAGGCAGTTCCATGTACAATGTTTTGGAGTGGCCATGTTGGCTATCTCTGTCCAGGAGGGGCTGTGGTTCATGCAGCCCCTGTAGGCACTATGAGGTATGGTTGTATCAGTACCACCAAACTGTGAATCTGATCCTTTAAGGGGAGTGTGACTCCACCCAGAACAGGTTGAACACAACTTCTCTAAAATTATACCAGCCCTTTAAAAAACTCCGAAAGAAAACAAAACCTATACATACAATCTTGGTAGAAGGGGTTTGTCTGTGAGAATAAAATCTATTTCAGAATAAAGTAGAAGACAGCATGAAAAGGAAAATGATGTGAAATGAGAAAAGTGAAGAAAGTAGAGTGCTGCTTGATGTAAATGAACCTTTAAGGGAATTTTCAGGACCTGTTGATTAGCAGGAATCAGCACTGATCCCAATTAGAGAGATTTTATAATAAGGCTAAATGATTAGGTCTATCTCATTAAGAAATGTGCATCGACGCATGTTGCTAAATCTTATCTACAATCACATTGCATTGTGATGCCAAAGAGCTTAACTATACCTATGTTGCCATATAACTCACTTTTCCCTCCTAAATTAAGCGGAAGTAGTTCGTCTTATGAGTGAATGCAGGCTTGCAGCTATCCAGAAGCCCCAAGAGATGCTGCTTTCACTGCGCGCAATCTCTCTGTTTGGCTTCTGAGTATAGAATTTTTTTTTCTTGTTTCCTTCAAAACTAGGTGGCTTGGTTGGTGCGTTTATTAGCGAAAAATACGGTACTTTTATTTTAGCATCACATGTGAAAACATCATTTAAAATGAAGCCTAGAATCAACAACAGTGTGAGAGGCAATTGCTATAGTGTTATTTCAGACAACCTTCTCACATCTGTGTTCATAGCTCATTTTAATAGAACAATTTGCAGTAAAGTAGCAGACCCTCCAAGTGTCCCTATTTTCTAGGGACGTCCCTGATTTAGAGAAGCCATCCTGGTTTCTGATTTGATTCTGGAATGTCCCACTTTTCCTTAGGATGTCCCTATTTTCATCGGAGAAATGTTTGAGGGTATGGTTGGATGTCCCTATTTTCATTGGAGTAATTTCGGAGGATATGGAGTTATTTGACTCGACCTGTATGAAGGCAATCCTGTATAGGGATTTTTTTTTTAATTTTTAATGATGTTTTTATATATGTTGAAAGCTGCCCAGAGTGGCTGGGGAAACCCAGTAAGATGTGTGGGGTATAAATAGTAAAATTATCATTATGGAATGGGACATCCCTATTTTCATTTGAGAAATGTTGGAGTGTATGAAGTAGTGCTTATAATGGGGGTCTTTACATTGTCCTTATGTATATCTGCCCCGTTAGGTGGATATGATTTAACCCATGAATACCTCGAGAAAAATATTTGAGGATTTCCTATCTTCTGTGAAAAATGTTCAATCATTCCTAGCTCTTTTCTTTCAAACATTGTGACTTCGTGACCTGGAAAGAAGATAAAAGGAAAATAAAGAAGGAGGGGGGCACTCCGTTATTCAATTGGCCCCTTTCCCAGAAGGTTTCAATGTACTACCACTTCTCTGTGCCTCCATCTTCCAGATCACAAAGATCTTTCTTTCATGTGGTTGGAGCTCACTTCAAAGCCTCAGTTGATATCAGGGCTGATTCCTTAGAAATGCGTTTGATCTTTTGCAGTCCATGGACTTCAAGAGACTGCACATATATTCAAAGCTAATTTAAAATCCATGTGGATTCCATCAAATACCACACATTTGACCTTACCAGATGGAATACAAATAATTAACGTCATGCATTTGCATCTGGAGATAGGAAGGCATATCAAGAAGTTGGGGTGGATGAGTAAGAGGTGATAAAATGGTTAAAAGGATAAGCTGTAGTTGGGTTAGGCTGGAAGAGAGGGGCTGCAATAAAAAATATGTTAGTGTTTGTAGCAGAACTGCAAAAGTGAGTGGGCCCTTTTTATCTCTTTGAACCTCTTTCCATGTTACTTTTCCCTGCTTACATCAAGAGGCAAGTAAGAAAAGAGGAAAATAATGTCCACCTTCTTTAATGGCCAAATAGTTGGCTGTAAATCTGTCGTATGGAAGTTGTGAATCTCTTATGTGTGGCCAGCAAGATCTGTGATCCAGACTCATACGTGACCCTCAAGAATCCAGACTCTGTGTTGGGTATTTGTGTTTCTGCCCTTTCAACTTGCATTGTTAAGACTCTAACAGAGAAAACCCATTTTGCAGCAGCTGTTATTACTAAAGGGTGACATTTGCGTCAGACTTTCTCAGTGTAGTGCCCTTTGGCTTCTGTGGGCCACAACTCCAATCAGAGCCGGGAGTTGTAGTACAAAACATCTGGAGAGTTTCAGACCATATGCAATCGACTGAGAATGAGGATCTTACACTGTTGCTCTGTAGAAGAGGGGATCTTGGCAGGTGTAACTGGTCCTTTGTCAGAATAATTTCTATCATAGCTCTTCAGCAGGTTGAATCAAGAGTTGGCACTGTACAGTGGCAGAGTGACTGTCTCTGTGCCGCATGGACTGGGTACACCTCACCTCTTTACTCCTCACTTCAAGGAAATAGGCAGAGGCACAATGTCTTTTTCACACGCAGCTTAGCAGTGTAGCAGTCAAGTATAATATGATGCAGCTACCGCTCATCCCCAAGTAATTAAAGGATGAGAAGAACTAGAAAAGTACTGTTCCAGAACTGAAGAAAGGAGCTCAAGTGAGCATCCTCTGACAAGCTGATTGCACAGTACCCTCCTTAGCCCCCTACATCTTCAGAATGTAAGAATATATGCATACGTTCATAATCCATCCAAGTGCCAGCTATGGTGAGGTCCAAATAAACCCAGAAAAAGCCTCATTGTGTTTACACAGCCCTTATCTTTCTCCATGGACAGTTGTTTATTTTTTCCCCCTCTCTCAACCACCACTATTCCTTTAGGATTTATACTGTAGCAACAGGAATGATTCTGGTCACCCTTTTTGCCCCTACCACAGAACTGCTCAACAGGAAATAGTTGGGAGCCTATCATGGGAATGATTTGTTATTGTAAAAAAGGAATGTGGCTGGAAGAGGAGACGAGAGGTCACTTCACTCTGGGGTACAGTCTGTTCTGAATGCGAAACAGGCACTTCAGTCCCTGAAAAGCACAGTGCCAGATGTAGTGAACAGCTCAAATCAGTTTTGGACTATCTCAACAGTAGTGTCAGACAGGATTTCCCACAGCGTAACCATACACATGTACAGCTCCTGAACACTTACCCTGGCAGTCATCAAGCTAGTAGAGTTTATTTGCTTGTATCAAAAAGAACAGACCAACTGAAAGGCACTGGTTATTTCTGTGATGTCAACTTGTTCGGCACTGGGGGGGGGGGAGGGAGAGAGAGAATGGATTCCATCTTGTGATAGGGCTAAGAAACCAAGATAGCTGAAAACTACTCTTTTTAAAAAACTTGGTTTCAGATTTTTTTTTTTATAATATGTTTTCAAGTATATCCATGGGTCAATGAATGTCAAAAACCTACCCCTTTCCCTTAAATTAAAGGAAATTATTAAAATCCTTCACATCATTCACTAAAATTAATTGGAAGAGTTAGGGGTAGCCACAGAGCTCATTCCTGCCCTCGGGCGCTGCACTGAATAATTATCAGCACTAGGAAAAGAATATGGGTACAAGCTACTACTACGCATGACTTCGCATTGTGCCCAAACTGTAATGTCTTGCCTTTCTTCCAATCTCGTTATCACTCTGCCTTGCATAGTTTAGAAATGCTTGCATCTCAACAGATAAACCACTCAGTAGTTTCCTTTGATGGAAGATGTCAGTTTGCAGCTTATGGTCACTAGTATCCAGAGAGGAGGGAGATGTGTGACTAGTTTAGCTTGCAAAAAAGCGGGGGGGACGGGACCTTTTTCAGTATTAATATAAACAAAGAGCAGATTATTCTGGCCTCAATGTAGGCAAAGTGTGGGCAGATGCTGGGCACATACAGCTCATTTTTTACATTTTATTATGTGTTTATGTGGCACACTTCACTTAGCCATTCACATTACAGTTCAACATTACAATTTTACGTACTGCAGTAATTTAGGATCTTTCTCTCCATATGTTCAAGCAAAAGCCTCTTTTTCCATGAGAATTTTTTCTGAACCCACCACTGAATTATAAAATATTATTGTTGCTAAATCATATTGATTAATTGCGTGCACAGCTTGACATATTTATTACTCTTACTGTGTGCCATGATCTTGTATGAGGTCCATGCTGATGCACAAAACAGGCTGCGTGGATTTAGGCACAACACTCCAAATAGTATTATGGGCTATGTTAATGCAACAACTTTGATTTTGTTGCACCTCTGGCACTTATTTTCTGTTTAATAAAAACAGCAAAACACTTCAATACATGATAATGGGCAATAATGAATGACGCTGTGCTGCAAACATGCAGATCAGGATTTATTATGTTAAATTTTTACCCATATGGCTAAAATTTTAAATATGCCTCTTTTCCAGCTCCTTCCTAGACACAGTTCAATGAGGTTCTTCATTGTTATTTCTGTCTCAATTATCCTGAAAGGTCATGATTTGAAAGATCATGATTTACCCAAGGCCAATGTGTAAGTCGCCATCTGATGTCAGGACTGAATCTAACAGGTACAAATCCAACTCTAAGTTATTAGACCCTGCTAGTCTATATATACAAATGCGGAAATCTGAGCCATGAATTATACGGGGTAGATTAATCCACTGATCAGGTCTGACCTTTTTTTCCCATTGCAAGGCCATTTTTTAAAAAATTATCTTATGGTGGATATTATCCATATCTCAATTTCCTGAACGAGCCAGTGTGTGTTCAAATTTTAGGCCATTGTTAACAACAACAACCATGGGTTCATCCATTGTTGTGGCATTTGTTGAACCTCTAGTCTGCGGCACCTATCAATATGATGAGATATGGGCTTAATGAAAAGGTTAACTTGAAATGGAGGGGGAAATACGTTAATCCACTTGGAGGGCACTTGGAGGCAAAAGGTTGTTTTTCTTCCTCTCTTAATAGCAGGTATGCTGATTCAGCATGCCCAACACCTCTAAGCCACGTAGAAATTACGCCAACCACCATGTTTATCCTTTGCTAGCCAAATCCTGTACTTCTCCCAGCTAGCTAAAAGGCAGGCTGAGGATTAGTAGGATCAACATGAATGATAAATCTCTCGACTGCAGCTGTTTCACCCAGATGTGCACATGTGCGCACACAAACCCTAATGTAGTGCTTAATTCTTTCCTGTGGCCTCTTTTCTTCTACTCCTGGGTTAGTATTACCACAAAAAGAGTAAAATCCAATGGGTGCCACTTTGTTAATAGAAGGCATCTGTCAATGGAACAGGAAGGTAATATTTAGTACTTCCCCTTCCCACCCCCTGCAGGCCCCCTTCTATGCCTGCAAAATCTGCTCTGCAGGGCCCCCTAACCATTACTACCAACCAGAACCAGCTAGCATAACGAACAAGGCTATCTGCAGAGGAAACTGTTGGATACTCACGAAAGTTGTTGTTTAGGAAGACCCTAAAATTGTTGAGCTTCTGCCTTTGAAATCCCTACTCAAACACCAAAAGATACCTCCAAAGCTATGCAGCTTTTCATTTCGAAGATCTCTGCTCATGCAATGGGGTTCCTCTCCTCCCCACTGCAGCCACCAATACAGCCTCACAATCTTATGCGGGACTGGAACTCCCTGACAATTTCTCAGGCACCTACATTCAATGCATTTAATTGAGTGATAAAGATGTTTTTATGGTCTCTGACTTTTAATATCATTTGTTTTTATTGTTGTTTTGTTACTGGTTACTGACTGAACTAGTTGTAAATGTTTTGGCAGTTCCAATATGTCTTTTCTTTCAAAATTTTGTTAGGCACCTTGAGAGTCTGTCTGAAAGGGAAGATGAAAATACATATAAAGAAAAACAACCAAACAAGTTCTCTCACAACTTAGGCAATGGTCATAAAAAAGAAATTAACACCCCCCCCAAATAAGTATCAGTTTCCAACTCTATAACTCTTTGTATGTGCTCATTGCAAAGGTTAAGATGACCCCTTATTCCAGCTAAGTGGATCCAAGAGCAAAGGGAAGACGGTGGGGGAAATGTAGAACTTTGATCCACATGCACTCTCTACAACCAATGAGTCTATGAATAGCCACTCTCTCTTTCCCTCTCATTTGGGAAGCTCACGGACCAGCAGAATGTTTTACTTGACCTAAAACAACTTCTTATTTATTGATTATTTAGAATATTTATTATCAAATTCCAGAGTGGTTAACAAATCACATTAAAACAGCAATAAGTTAAAATCGTAAATACATTAATGCCCAATAGAAAAAAAGAAAACATATCACTAAAGGCTACAAGTTAAAACTTCATTAAACTCCATTTAAAAATTATGAATTTGGACCTGGATCCTGCCTTCTTCAAATCTACTGGAAACAATGTCTATTTTTGAAACTGCTGCTTAACTGGCCTGCACTTTCAGGATTTCCCACAATGCCTTGCTAGACTGAGACTCTGCCAAGCAAGCAGAGCACAGCTGTTACAAATTAGAAGAAAATAAAATACATTTTATTTTTGCTTTTAAAAATGTATCTGAGTCATTAAGTGAGATCATACATGCCCATGTGTAACGAGGAAGCACTGTCAGAGCCCTAATACTATTCTGGCACGTACCAATGTCTCAAGCAAGGTTCTGGTTTGATTAAAAAGTTCTGAGCATTTCACACTTTTTGGCAACAAATTATTCTTCCTGGGACAAGCCAAGGTAAACTGTAAAAAAAAAACCCCATCTAACATGTGGATCTGCCTTTGCAATAAGCACTAACCCTCCTTCTTCCTGTCAACCTGGCCTCCTCTCCAAGTCCATTTCTTTCCCACTCTATAATCTAAATAAATCAAAGCATTTTATGGCTGTTGTCTGTGTGTTTTTTAAACATCCATTATTGCAACATCTGTCCTCTGGGGTCTTCAGAGTCCCATGACACCATGTTTACTCATAGTCCAGATTATCACGAGAAAGCCATTTTCCCATCCCCTCATTGAAATCCAGAAGACCAGACACATGTGGGGAGCCTTTGAAAGTGCATAAACAATTTATGATAAAACGCAGATGTCTGAAAACTGAAACTAAGCTGGGACTGATGGCCTCTGTGCATGTATGTACAAAGTCTCAGGGATCTTCTATTTCTATTATTGTTGTTATGATTATTAATTAGTCACTTTACTCATGGAAATGACTCAAAGCAACTAACAGACACAACAGAAAGCCAATTACAATAAAACATTTTTTTTAAAACAAAATAAACAGCTTCAGGTTTTGTGTGGATTTTTAAAAAATGCATACAGCTTCTGCATAACTTCCACTTAGAATGATAAAAACTTCCACCTTATCTAACCTGTACAATCAAAGAGAGGAAGATGCTGCAATTTGGGTCAGAATCTTGGCCCATAGTATAAGCGATTGGTAAAATTGTGAGGCTAACAGCAGAGGAAAGGGAAACAGACCCCCCCTCCCTCACCCAATGTTATTTATGTCCAGTGCTTTTTTCTGGGTGTACGCAGGGATACGCATACCCCTAAACATTTTGTGAATCTAAGTTTGGCCTCATTGAGGGGCAGTATTTCCGAGCACAATTCAAAGTGTTGGTGTTGACCTTTAAAGCCCTAAGCGGCCTCGGCCCAGTATACCTGAAGGAGCGTCTCCACCCCCATCGTTCTGCCCGGATGCTGAGGTCCAGCACTGAGGGCCTTCTGGCGGTTCCCTCACTGCAAGAAGCAAAGCTACAGGGAACCAGGCAGAGGGCCTTCTCGGTAGTGGCGCCCGCCCTGTGGAACGCCCTCCCATCAGATGTCAAAGAGATAAACAACTACCTGACATTTAGAAGACATCGGAAGGCAGCCCTGTTCAGGGAACTTTTTAATGTGTGATATTTTTAATCTTTGTTGGAAACCGCCCAGAGTGGCTGGGGAAACCCAGCCAGATGGGCAGGGTACAAATAATAAATTATTATTATTATTATTACTATTAACATGAGTAGGAAAATGAGAATACTCCTAAACATTTTTTTTAGGAAAAAAAGCACTGTTTATTTCTATAAAACATTTATGTCTCACCCTTCTGATCCACAAGCATGACTCAGGAAAGTTTACAACATTTAAATATAGATTCCCCCACGCCCCAAAAAGCAACAATATACAACAGCCAGCCAGGGAGACAGGATCAGCACTATAAAAGATCAAGCATAAAAGCCTTATCTGCCACATACAACAAAAAACCTGCAAGAATAAAACAATCTTTATTCGAAAAACAGGAAGG